ATTCCACAAACACTCATATTTTTCGTATACTCATTTTGGAGCTTCTGTCCCATCTAAATACATTAAAACCATCCAATTTTACTTCATAATCAGAAAAATCCTGGCTTAAGTCGCTTTCTACGAGAATAATATCATAAGTAACACAAACCACAGCTTTAAGGAGCTTGGGCAATTTGGTTTCAAGACCGCTAACATTTTGGAAGTACACAATTAATGGAGTTGCAATGAGTTTTTTGTGTTATTCTGTTGATAAACTTCCACAACTGGCACCCCATTCTGATAAACAATAGCTAAATTTCCCTCACCAGCAGCTTTCCTGCTGTCGAGTAGTAACTTGGCCTTCTTATAGGCATTTTGTTGCATTGGTGTCTGATCATTAAATATTCTGAAACCTGATACTTGCAATTTTCTTCCCAATTTAAGTGCTGACATAACAGTGTCCACACTCTTGCAAATTACATTCACAGGTCTAGGGCTGGTGCTGTTAACCATACTTTTGCCCACACGAATAATTTTCCCAACTGACAGAATCTCCTCCTTTAGACCCAAGTTAACAAAAACTTCCGAAACCACTGTTCTGTTGTGACTAATGCGCTCGTCCAAATTAAGGGAGTTTGATTCAGGGACATTATAAACCATTAAGTTCATAGCCCGTTCAGCACGTTGACCGACTTTGTAAACCATTGACTCAGCAGCATCAAGCGAATTGTCCCTTTGCATACTAGCAATCTTCTGCTTCAATGCTTGCAGTTCTTCCTCAACCACGGCCATTTTTCCAACCATAACTTGCACACTTTTAAAAGCGTCACGACACTCCTGAAAAAAAGTGCACGAGAGTACGTTTCTGCAAAACCACTGCTCTGGCCTCTGAGGTAGAGAGGCGATTGTTGTCAAGAATTTTGAAATTTTTCTTTTTTTTTCTGTATCTACTCTATTGCTAAATAAATAAATATTTTATATGTAAATTTAAAAATTACAACTATTCTGCAAGAAATAAGTACCTAATAAAAATTTCTATGAATACAAATTTACCAAAACTTCAATACCTTTTAATATACTTATATATATTAATATACTACTAAAGACTTGAATCACTCTAACCTAATACTTCAAAATTAAATGAAAACATAGGCATGGAACAGAAATATGCAGCCTGATACTTAATTTTAATTTATTTTCACAATTTGTAATTTCTAATTGTATGTACCTAGTTGTTTTTATGTAGCAATGTTTTGCCAAATAAATCATTATCTATCCATAAGTGTCATATCTAGGCATCCCTTCTATACAATATTTTCTAGGAAGTATTTCTGTTTTTAGATTCCACTTTGGATTTTTGCCCTCTTGTTCTACAAGACCTTTGTTGATTCTACCAAGAAAGAGATTCGTTTATTCTACCATTTTTCTCTATAGGGGTGAAAATTTACTAAATTTTAGTTTATTCCCAACAAATAAAATTTCTAATTACATTACGTATGGCTTTTCCAAACATGCACCTAATTTATAAAGCTTTCCCAAGGTCAACATAAAATAATTAGAAATGTAAACCACAATCAATTTGTAAGTTATCGAAAATGCTATACATTATAAAACATTATCAGCTAAAAAACTAATAGTTCCTCAACTCAATCCATGAAGCAAAAAGTCCTGGTTATCTAACCTTTTCAAGTTCCATTATTATTGAATTCAACTAGTTTTTAAAATGGGAAGAGTGCCAAGTACCAAGTTATGTATTTTTTAAATAAATATTTGTGTGTGATAAATCAAGTTGGAACTCATTTGTTTATTGCTGCTTTGATAAATATTGGTTATCTATGACTGTATTGAAATAATCTCTCACTCATGATAATAATATGCAGTGTGTGTGTATTTTATTTTGAATCTAATAACTGTGAACCTGATAATGAGGTTTGAAAAAGAAACAGCATGTTGTATTGGGAGTAAAGGTACACAATTAAGTATTTGAGAAATACTATCCACAAAAAAATTATATATGAGTTAGACATTCCCTCTGTTGTTTTAACATCTACAACTCTGATTATCTTGTCATTTTCTGGATACAAACCAGTAGGTCTCTCTAGGAATCATGTTTTTCCCAGTAAAGTAAATCATCCATAGTTATTGGTCCATTTTCCAAATTGTACACTTTTCACTAATGGATCCAAAATTATTCTGAAACTTGATGACTTTGTTTTCCAAAGCTTTTAAGTATTTTTTTTGTGAATAAAAGTTGCCCAGTTGCCATTAATAATAATAATAATAATAATAAAGTTTATTTACCAAAGATACATAGGTACAAACATATGCTTAAATATTATAATAATTTTATCTTACAGTAAAATAAACAGTAATCACAGAAGCAATGCATCAACTGTATTGCTTGTACGTGATGGTATTTTTCTTATTTGTCTAAATTGGGTAGTGCGTCAATTTCGGGTAAAGTTGTCTTATTCGGGTGTGCATGTCAAAATCGAGGGTGTGTCAAAATAGGGAGTTTTATGGTCACTTTTTAGGTTTACGATCAATTTATTTTTTATAGATTTTTGAAAAAATTTCTAAGAGTATGGCGATTTATTTTTATCCATGGTTTAATATGAGATTTGAAGTTTTTTTGGTTAATTTTTTGTTTTATATTTTCTGGAAGAAGATTATAAATTCTGGGGGCGTAAGATTTGTAGTATTGTTGACCAACAGCTTTCTGACTCCGCGGGAGAACCGCGTCTCTATTTTGAGCGCGGGTCTCGTGAGGATGTTGTACATATTCAAGTTCAATTTTGTTTTTATGTAAATTTATCAATAAATTTTGAGCATAAAGTTGTCGGATGTCAAATATTCCGGTCTCGTTGAATAATTGATCTGTGGGAAATAATTTGGGTTTTTCATAGATTATTTTAAGAAGCCATTTTTGAATAATTTCTACTGTATTAATATGACATTCCCTTACTCCACCCCAGCCAATAAGTCCATATGTGAGCTGTGATTGAACCAACGAAAAGTAAAGTGTTTTCAATGATTTTATATCAAGGAAATCTTTAAGGCGTTTGAATTTAGATATTAAGTTTCGGACTTTCCCTGCAAGTTGATTGCTATGCAGTTTCCATCTTAGATTCTGATCCAACGTTATTCCAAGGTATTTTATGGAATCGTTTTCCTGAATAGAGGTATCGTCATCAATATTGAGAACGCCCATGTTTGGCAAGCCGGTAGCGTATGACGAGAAATTTAGGTATCTAGTTTTAGTGGTGTTTAAAGAAAGTTTGTTAATTTTAAACCAGTTAGAAATATTTAGGAAGTCCCTTTCCGTAATCTGTTTAAGTGTTGTCCATGACTCGCTGGTGTAGAATATAGCAGTATCATCACAATAGCTGATAATTTTTCCTGCAATATCCATTTTTAAAAGGGCATTTACATAAATAATAAACATTATTGGACCAAGAACGGTGCCTTGCGGCACGCCACAGGTGACTGTCTGATATGAGCTTTGAGTACCATTTATTGTTACATGTTGTCTTCTGTTGGTAAGATAACTTTGTAGCAGATCATTAACAATACCTCTAAAGCCATAAGTATTGAGTTTCTCTAAAAGAATGCTGTGGTCTACCGTGTCAAAGGCTTTCGAGAGATCAACAAAGATACACAAAGAAGGTTGTGATTTGTCCATGGACTCATATAAATATGAAGTTAATTTCGCTATTGCATCTTCGGTTGATTTTTTCTCTCGAAAGCCATATTGCTTATCTGAAAGGACAGAGAACCTATTCAGAAATGATACTATTCGTATTTTTAAGATTTTTTCATAGATTTTTGCAATGTTAGAGATTAGCGAAATTGGTCTGTAGTTATTTGTGTCTTCAACTGATCCAGATTTGTGTATTGGTGTAATTGCACCAACTTTCAACTTATCTGGAAATACTCCAGATTTGAAACATAGGTTAATCAAGTATGTCAATGGATTTGCTATTTCATTCCTAATCTCCTGTAGAGTTTCGCTCCTAATTCCGTCAATACCGGGCGATTTACCTTTTTTTAGGCTCATTATAGTGTCAATTACTTCTTTTTGTGTCGTCTCGCGTAAGAACATGGAATTTTCAATGAAGTTTTCGTTTATTGGATTCATGTTTAAAGGGTTGGTAATTTTATTGGCTAAATTCTTTCCTATTTCGCTAAAAAACTTGTTGAAATGATTTGCTAATTGTTTTTCGTTTGTTATTGTTTTTCCGCAAGTAAGTTTAATTGTTTTAATTTTTTTGGTTTTAGTTTTTTTACCGCTATTGCATACATCATTCACACAGTTCCATAGAGCTTTATTTTCATTTCTATTTGCATTTATTTGTCTTTTTAAGTAACTCTTTTTTGATTTTTTTATTTCTTTGTTAACCTCAGTATTGCAATTTTGATATCTCGTTTTTAGTTCCTCATTGTGGGGTTCATTTACATGCTGTATATATAAGTCATGTTTTTGTTGTATTTTTTTAAGTAACGCTTTTGTGATCCATTTTTGTTTTCCATTTCTTCTATTACTTGTTTGTACTGTATTTGTATGTTTGTTTATGTATAGTAGCAATTTATCTAAGAAAATATCGGTTGCTGAGTTTGTGTCACTTGTTGCGTACACCGAATACCAGTTTTCATTACCTATGTCTCCTTTCAATTGATTGTAATTAATAAATTTTTTAAATTGTTTTGTGTAGGTTTTCTGCTGTTGTTTGGTTAAAATATTTAACGCAATGGGATAGTGATCCGTTATATCAAGTTTAAATAAAAATGACTCTGGCTGAGTTTCTAAAGTGTCTTGATTACACATTTTTACCAAAAAGTGATCTAAACAGGTTTTCGACTGAGGCCTAGTAACTTTATTAATGTAGGATATAAAATGATAATAGCTCAAAATGTTTTTGTACTCTTCGTCTTCTGGTTTTTCCGATAAAAGGTCCATATTGATGTCCCCGACAATAATGTGATTTTTATATTATTAACAAGTGATTCCATCACTTTTCCAGCTCAACAACAATATAAACAACAAAATCACCTCAGTAACCCAAGTACTGGGAGAGCTCCAGTTTGAAGAAGAAGATGAGGAATTCTACAACAGTAAAGAACTACCGGATTTCGCGTGCAAATATTGTGGAATACACGAACCAAATTGCGTTGTCATGTGCAACTTGTGCAAGAAATGGTTCTGTAATGGACGCGGAAATACTTCCGGCAGTCACATTATCAACCATTTGGTCAGAGCCAAACATAAGGAGGTCACTCTCCACAAAGACGGTCCTCTGGGGGAAACCATCCTAGAGTGTTATAGTTGCGGAGTGAGGAATGTATTTGTATTGGGATTTATCCCTGCTAAAGCCGATTCTGTGGTGGTTTTACTGTGCAGGCAACCGTGTGCTGCTCAAAATTCTTTGAAGGTAACTTATAACCACAAATTATTGTTCAATCCATATTAAATGATTTTTAGGACATGAATTGGGACCAAGATCAATGGAAACCACTTATAGCTGATCGTTGCTTTTTAACTTGGCTAGTTAAAATCCCCTCTGAGCAAGAACAGCTCAGAGCTCGTCAAATTTCAGCTCAGCAAATCAACAAGCTGGAAGAACTGTGGAAAGAAAATGTTGATGCTACATTCCAGGATTTGGAAAAACCTGGAGTTGATGAAGAACCGCAACAAGTCCTTTTGAGATATGAAGACGGCTACCAATATCAAAATATATTTGGTCCACTGGTGAAACTTGAAGCTGATTATGACAAGAGGCTAAAAGAGTCCCAAACCCAAGAAAATATTGAAGTGAGATGGGATGTTGGCTTGAATAAGAAGACGATAGCATATTTCACTCTGGCCAAAACCGATGGGGATATGAAGCTCATGCATGGGGATGAATTAAGGCTGAGATATGTTGGAGAGATGCACAAGTCATGGGCAGGAGTTGGTCACGTTATCAAAGTCCCTGATAATTACGGTGAAGATATCGGAATTGAACTAAAAAGTTGTTCTGGAGCACCAACTGAATGCACCAGCAACTTTGTCGTTGATTTTATCTGGAAAAGTACCAGCTTTGACAGGATGCAATCAGCTCTCCGCAAGTTCGCAGTCGACGATGCTTCTGTGTCAGCTTACATATACCATAGATTGTTGGGCCATGAAGTAGAGGAAGTGCTATTTCGGTGCCATCTACCTAAACATTTTTCAGCACCAAATTTGCCTGATTTGAATAGGTCGCAAGTGTACGCTGTTAAGCATGCTTTACAGAGACCGTTGTCACTTATTCAAGGGCCTCCTGGTACAGGCAAAACTGTTACTTCTGCTACAATTGTATATCAATTGGTAAAGCAAAATGGCGGTCCTGTATTAGTGTGTGCCCCCAGTAATACTGCTGTAGACCAACTGACAGAAAAAATACATAAAACTGACTTGAAAGTGGTGAGATTATGTGCTAAATCAAGAGAGGCCATTGATTCTCCAGTTAGCTTTTTGGCTTTGCACAACCAAATTAGAAAAATGGAAGCCAACATGGAATTGCAAAAATTACAACAGCTCAAAGATGAAACTGGTGAGCTGTCCAGTGTAGATGAAAAAAGGTATAGAATGTTGAAGAAGTTAGCTGAAAAAGAGCTATTAGAAGCTGCTGATGTAATTTGCTGTACTTGCGTTGGAGCTGGAGACCCGAGATTGCTCAAATTAACGTTTCATTCTATTTTAATAGATGAGAGTATGCAGGCTACAGAACCCGAATGCATGGTACCAGTCGTTCTAGGCGTGAAGCAACTGATTTTAGTGGGAGATCATTGTCAATTAGGCCCGGTGGTTATGTGCAAAAAAGCAGCCAGAGCCGGACTTTCCCAATCTTTATTTGAGCGATTAGTAGTCCTGGGAATAAGGCCCTTCAGACTAGAAGTTCAGTACCGTATGCACCCAGAGCTGTCAAGATTTCCATCTGACTTTTTCTATGAAGGAAGCTTGCAAAATGGTGTCAGTTCAGAAGAGAGAAAACTGGCCAAAATTGATTTTCCATGGCCCATTTTAGACAGGCCAATGTTTTTCCTCGTTACTCAAGGACAAGAAGAAATTGCTGGTAGCGGTACAAGTTATTTGAACAGAACTGAAGCTTCTAACGTTGAGAAAATTGCAACTAGGTAAGTGCATTTAATATGTGTTATCAAGTGCCAATTTTTAACTATATAGTTAAAATTTGATAGGATAATAAAACTGTGCTTTATGGACAATATGTAGATTTTCTATGAAATCAATTAATACTCGGGCATAGTTTATTGAGACACGTTTTTTGGATTACAGCCAATATTGCATAGAAATTTTACAAATCTCTCTGTTTTTAGCTGGAAACTGTGCTAAATAAAAAATATCACTTCTGGTGCAGTTATCATGATGTATTGAAGTGAATCATAAGACAATTAATTTTTTAAAAAGAATTGGATGTCATAATGTCTAGATGAGTCATACACATTAACTAAACATAATTTTAATGAATTTATTATAAAAATTTGGTTTTACCTCTTCTTCAGATTCCTTCGGGCTGGAATTAAACCTGAACAAATTGGTGTAATAACACCATATGAAGGCCAAAGGGCATATTTAGTCCAGTATATGCAATATCAAGGCTCTTTGCATAGTAAACTGTATCAGGAAATTGAAATTGCTAGCGTAGATGCTTTCCAAGGCAGAGAAAAGGACATTATTATTATGTCTTGTGTGAGGTGAGGACTTGAGTTTAAAAATTGTAATATATGAATGACTGTGAATTTTAGGAGCAATGAACATCAAGGAATAGGATTTTTAAACGACCCACGTCGTTTGAATGTAGCTTTAACAAGAGCCAAATATGGAATAATCATTGTTGGAAATCCAAAAGTTTTGTCCAAGCAACCTTTGTGGAACCATCTTTTGTCGTTTTACAAGGAACAAAAAGTTTTAGTTGAAGGTCCTCTTACCAACATGAAGGAATCCCTAATTCAATTTGCCAAACCCAAAAAACTGACGAATTCTGATAATCCTGGAAGTCATTTTATGACAACATCAATGTTTGATGCCAGAGAAGCAATGGTTCCAGGGTCTGTGTATGACAGGTGTGTGAACAAAAAACAAAACTTTTCTTTATTAAACATTTGCGATTTTTTAGGACAGGCTCTAATATGAATGGTGCAGGACCTTTTGGAAACCTTGGCACAGGATTTCAATCGACCAGACCTATGCAAATGGACATGTTTGGCAGAACTCATGACCCTATTGGCTACATTGCCCCTGATAGGGCTCAAGCTGGTTTAAACTTACCTGTACCAGTAGGTATGTTCATGAACATGGCTCACATACCGCCGAGATTTTACAACCAGCATCAACAAGCCATGCAAGCTAGACAACAACAACCCCCGAAAGGACCCAATAGACGACCACCGCAAAGACAAAAGGGCAGAAACCTCAGCCAAGATCAAACCCAACCGTTTAGCCAGAGCTTGCAGCTCACGCAAGGCGGCATGTCACAACCTGGACTTTCACAACCCGGATTCAGTCTCTCTCAGCCCGGACTTAGCCAAGCTGAACTCAGTCAGGACTTGTATATGGCGGAATATCAAAGTCAAATGGACGGGCTTTTGTCACAAGATTCTACTTATCAAGGAGACAGGTAATTATTTATAATCATATTGTCACGCTTAGGTTGTTTATGTTCAGCGGTGCCACCACTTTATCTACACTTGCCTGCGTCGGCTAAGGGTTTTTCCTGAATATTTTTTATTCCAGGTCTGCATTTTACCAACCAAGTACGCAATTCTCGCAGCCCTATTGACTTAACAACCTACAAGACAATCCAATGAGAGACGCGGAAGCGACAACACGTTGAACAAAGCAGAGCCACAAAAATTAGAAAGTGAGAAATCGAATCGTAAAATTGCCAGTTAAACCATCAGATGTAAAACGAGAAAACGAAACTTAAAAAAAAAACACATAAAAATACAATGAGAGAACCATTTCGACAAACCATCTGGAAGAACATGGGCGCTAATAAAAAATGGACGAACGAGGAGTAGTTGTTTTCTTAAGGGCTTATTAATACAACAGCAATATGCATTTTGTTGCGGCTAAGGCAAACAATGAAACTGGTAAAAAAACCATTTCGTTATAAATGTGACTATAATTGTTTAGTTACTCTAATACATAGTTATTTTGTTTTTTTCTTAATTATTTGATTATTTTTATTTATTTTCTTTTCTCTTTGTTAAGGGGTAGTACTTTTTTTGTAATCTATGGCCATCTAAACATTAAACATCGTATGTGGAACGCAAAATAAAAGTAAAACTACAATTAATATTAAGCGAGGGACATTTCTGGTAGAAAGTAACTTTCCAATAAATTTACCAAATTTTCAATTATACAAACGGTACCAGGCTTGTCTATCTTTTTATTTTCTAGTATAGATATTATCTTTTAATTTTTATCAAATGGATTATTGTACAGTGTGTTCAAATAAATTTGCTGAAAGATTACAAAGTTGAGTAGTTTCTGTATTTTTTTGAGCACAATGTATAGACCCAACAGTAATAAGCAGGGCACATTTAGTATTTTATGATTTATGTCTTTTTCTTTTTCATACATACATCGTATTTTTGTCAATTCATTAAATAAAACTGCTCTAATAGCTCTTTAGAGAACATCACACAAAACAAGGGTCAATAAATTCAATAAAATATAAAAATAAATGTTTCTTTTATTGTTTTGTTTAACCGGCATGAACAATATTGTCACGCTCAGGTTGGCTGTGGTCAGTGGCGTAGCCAGGATTTTGTCTTGGGGGGGGCAAATTTGCAGGAAGCGTCTCTCGCGAAGCGCCGCAGGCGCGAAATTTTTGAGTGCCACGCCCCTTTTTCAGGTTTCTTTACGCTATTTTTGGGACTGTTTATCTTAATTTTGAAGAAATATTCATAAAATTTAAGGGTCTTGGGGGGGGGCAAATGCCCCCTTGCCCCCCCCCTGGCTACGCCAGTGGCTGTGGTCACCACTTTTACTACACTACACTTCTAATAAGAATTTTAGATTTCTGAATTTTAAATTTTTAAGTTTTTTGGAAACTTTCTGGTTCATAAAATCTTCAAGATCTTCTGATCATATGATGTTCATGTGAAAATGTTTTGATCTTCTCTACACATCTTGAAATTTTACTAGCCGTTACAATTTCTTGGTATGATTCCATGGAAATATTTGTAGAATTTCATGATTCTTAGGATCTCTGGATTCTGGATTGAGGTTTTTGACTCTCCGAATCTTAAGAATCTGAATTTCACAAACCTTGAAAGAACTTTCTGATTCTAATGCCCGTATTACATCTGTGTATTTTTCTGTGTATTTATTCATGTAGTTCAGGGTGACAATCAAAAAACTTCAAACACAAAATAAATCAGCATTATGAAAAACAAAATAATGTTGGCACCCTGAACTACATGAATAAATACACAGATGTAATACAGGCATAGGAGAAGTTTCATTAGATCTTTGTCAGATCTTGTACTTTCAGATCCTGACATGTTGGCTTGACAATATTCTAAGTTTTTCTACAAATCTTGAAATTTTACAAGCCATCACAATTTCTTGGTATGATTCCATGAAAAGATTTGTAGAATCTCAAGATTTTAAGGATTTCTGGATTGAGGTTTTCGACTCTTCAAATCTTAAAAATCTTAATTCTACAAATCTTGAAAGGACTTTCTGATTCTAATAGAAGTTTCATTAGATATTTGACAGAACTGTAGAACGTTCAGATCCTGACATGTTCGCTTAAAATTTTCTGAGTTTCTTTACAGATTTTGAAATTTTAAAAGCCGTCACAGCTTCTTGGTGTGATTCCATGGAAATATTCGTAGAATCTCAAGATTTTAACGATCTCTGGATTCTGGATTGAGGTTTTCGACTCTTCGAATCTTAAGAATCTAAATTCTACAAATCTTGAAAGAACTTTCTGATTCTAATAGAAGTTTCATTAGATATTTGACAGAACTGTAGAACGTTAAGATCCTGACATGTTCGCTTGAAAATTTTCTGAGTTTCTTTACAGATTTTGAAATTTTAAAAGCCGTCACAGTTCTTGATGTGATTCCATGGAAATATTCGTAGAATCTCAAGATTTTTAGGATCCCTGGATTCTGGATTGAGGTTTTCGATTCTTCCAATCTTGATATTCTGAATTCTACAAACCTTGAAAAAACTTTATGATTCTAAGAGAAGTTTCATTGGATCTTTGTCACATCCTTAGGACCTTCAGATCCTGACATGTTGGCTTGAAAATATTCTGAGTTTCTCTACAGTTCTTGAAATTTTACAAACTATCACAGTTTTTTTGGTATGGTTCCATGGAAATATCCGTAGAATCTCAAGATTTTTAGGATCTCTGGATTCTAGATTGAGGTTTTCGACTCTTTGAATCTTAATAATCTGAATTCTACAAACCTTGAAAAAACTTTGTGATTCTAAGAGAAGTTTCATTGGATCTTTGTCAGATTTTTAGGACCTTCAGATCCTGACTATTTCTGACATGTTCGCTTGAGAATATTCTGAGTTTCTCTACAGATCTTAAAATTTTACAAGCCATCACAATTTTTTGGTATTATTCCATGGCAAAATTCGTAGAATCTCAAGACTTTTAGGATTCCTGGATTGAGGTTTTTGTCTGTTCGAATCATAAGATTCTGAATTCTACAAACCTTGAAAAGACTTTCTGATTCTAAGAGAAGTTTGATTGGATCAGATCTTCAATGGCCGTCTGCACCGAACATTTTAAGGAATCCTTGGCGATAAGTATCCCTTAAATTGACATTTCTCCATGTGAAAATGTCATTTTAAGGAATACGTATCGCTAAGGCTTCCTTAAAATGGTCGGTGCAAACGGCCACAATTAAGACATTCAGATTTTGACATGTTCGCTTGAAAATTTTTTGATTTTCTCTACAGATTTTGAGATTTTATAAGCCAGGAAAATTTCTTGAAGGTTTCATGAGAAGATTCATAAAATTTCAAGTTTCTCAGGCCCTTTGGATTCTGAATTGAGGTTTTCGATTCTTGAGATTCTGAATTCTACAAACCTTGAAAAAGTCTTTGTTCTTTCACGAAAAAACTTTAGATCAGGAATTCTGAGTCGCAAACTTCTCAATTTTTTCTCTGGAAAAACTCAAAATCTTAAATCTTTAGTAATTACTTCGCAAACTGCCTGTTCGTCTTATAAAATGTTAGGATTTTGAGTAAAGATTCTCAGATTTTCATGTAAAGACTTGTAAATCCTTGACTTTTTTGTTTTCTCTTGAGATCCTAAATTCTATAATTACCTTGTAAATTTCTCGATTCTCTTCCAATTTTGTAAGCCGTCACAATTTCTTGGTGGTTCCAAAAGAAGATTCGTAGGATTCTGAATTCAGGTTGTCAACTCTTCAAATCTTAAGATTTTGAAATCTGCATACCTTGAAAAAGTCTTCGACCTTTTACGAAGTAACTTTAGATCAGAAATTCTGAGTCGCAAACTTCTCAATTTTTACTCTGGAAAGATTTAAAATCTTGAATTTTTGATAATTACTTCGCAAACTGCCTGTTAGTCCTATGAGATGTCAGGATCTTGAGTAAAGATTCTCAGATTCTTATATTAAAACTTGTAAATCCTTGATTGTTCTTGAAAAACTCTTTAGATCCTAAATTCTATAATTACCTTGCACATTTTCAAATTCCCTTCTGAAAGGACTTTCAATTTTGCAAGCCGTCACAATTTCTTGGTGGTTCCATGAGAAGATTCGTAGAGTCCCAAGATTCCTAGAGTCCCAAGATTCCTAGGACCTCTGGATTCTGAATTGAGATTTTCGATTCTTCGAATTTTAAGTTTGAACATTGGACTTATTGGACAATAAATCGTCTCTTATCCTCAAAATAATAAGATCAACAACAAAATCAGTAGATATAGGACATAGGATCACCTTGATCCTGGGGAACTTTTTCTAAACCAGCAGAAAACCAGCTTGAAATCAGTGAAAAATGCTAGTTTTGTGCTGGTTTCTAGCTGGTTTTGTGTGACTGCGTCCACAAAGGGTTTATCTGATAGGAGAGGATATGGGGAAAGGATTACCTCACGACCGCAGATGTTCGTCCCTGATGGACCATGTTAGATTCTCAATTCGTTAATGCCCCTCGGTAATGTAAGAATGTTTTATGAACTTGCATTGCCTCAGTGGATGATTTATATTAAAATTATTGCTGGCATAAGCAAAGTTGGCCTGTTTTTAATAGTCCGAGGGTGACCTCTTTCAGAAATTTACTTAATTTGTATAATGCGTGGTCATATGTACTTTTATGAGTTGACAATATATTAGACAAGAAAAAGAAACTGAATCTTTCGTTATGTCCAAATAAATAAAATTTATTCCGGAAAAAACCTCTATGGAAATTGTATCCCACAATCAGAGGTCAGGTTTCCAAAGGAGCAATTTCAACATAATATGAGAAAATATCAGAAAACCTAAAATTGATCAAAGAATATTTGAATCTTTAAAGGGAACTTTCTTCTTCTGTAAAAGCAGTGGGTCAAATTAAAACATCAAATTCACAAAACAAATTATTTCTAAAGTTTATTTATTAATAGATTTTTGTAAAAATAAGATAATAGTGCTTAAATAAACATGCTTTTCCTCAACTAAGAGATTGTTAAAAATAATTATGACAAAAACTTAATAATACCTCGAGAAAGTTTCATCAATAAAAATAAAATATTTTACAAAATATAAAATTAAATTATTCATATCCAAGTAAAAATAAAAGAATATCACAAAAACATAGTGCGCGTAAGTAGTGTAACTAAAAATACTGAGAAAATATATATTGTTATAAGGCACTAGATATAGAAATCACTTTAAGGACAATACAAGGCGCATTCATTCAACTACTTAAAGCGCTTTATTGAACAGTTACAGCAAAAATATAGAATCTAATTGAAGCAAAATAAAACAATTTTCAGTTAGTAGTAAGTAAGAAATTCAATACAAAATGATACGGCTTATGAAGCACTGAAATAGTAATTACAAAAATGCAATTGAATTTTTCAGAGTCCTAAAGACTTGATATGAACTCTAAGGGAATCTTGGGTACATAGTAGCAATGATGAGTGAAAGTCTTCTTTGTCTAAATTATAATACCAGTAAGCTCAGAAATATAAAAATTGTTTTTGATGCTTCGACAACCAATCTTCCATTTGATTATAATTTCTCTTCATCCACTCTACGTTGCCTTTAACTTGCTCTATTGCGCTATTAAAAGCTTGTGATGTTGTGCTGATATTCGTTTTAATGCTGTCTTTGAATCTTTCAAGCTAAAAAAAAAATAATATAGTCATAGTCAAAGTTACTTTTGATATTTGGAATCTTACCTCTTCTAGTTGAAATTCTGTAGTCATATGTACTCCCAAAGATTTGACCATTTTGCCCAAAATATTGAATCCATCGCCATAGCTATAGAAATAATTTATAATCAATTGAATTAGTCCATAAAGTATTTAATTTGTTTCCTAAAACTCTGACTTACTGCTCTAACATTTCGTTCCAATGGGTCCGAATAAAATCGAAAGCAATGACGGTGCCCTCCTTGTTTCTAGCCACCGACTCGAACACCCTATCGGCGTCCTGAATCCTGATACTAGAACCATCAATTAGTTTATCCAAATATCTGCAAATAATTCCCAAATTACAAGATACGTACGGGGGGTTAATAAAGCTCTATCTTGTAAAGATTCGAATCTAAAAATGGTCGGTGAGATTCTTTAGGGTTAGATATTACGTGCGTGGTGGTGAGTTTTGAAGACATAAGCATGCAATGACTCTGATATAAAAATTTGAATCAATTATAACAGGTTTTAGAACATAAAGAAATAAGTGATAGGCATCATGGAGAAATCAGTGAGAACCACCCCTTATTTTCTCCCAAGAAAGGTAGCGAAGTTTTAGGGAAAGTTGTAGAGTGTGGGGTAAGTAGGAGGAAGTTTAATGGAAATAGATGTTTCTCCAGTAGTTACGATTTTAAACATTAAGGACCGTGCCTAAAAGTACGATCAACCTTAGGTTGAAACTCAACCTTCGGTCATTGTTAATAATGTTCAGAAATAAATCCAAGGAACTGAAGAAATCTTAGCAGGTTTGGAAAATTACCTACTAATGGAGTCTGGGAAAGATCAAAAGTAAATATGGCCAATAATAATTTAGGAACTATGCTATATGGTTTTCCTCTACAAAAAAAATGCATAATATGAAGGGTCAGGTAACTAATACAAAAATTATATCTGGTTCATGCAGGAGTTTGGTTGGAACGATATTCTAGATCCGCTCATTATCCTGACCTTACTCCATCAGATTGTCAAATCTTGAAATATTGTTAAAATACCATACATCAACCATTTATGAATTTTTCCCCTTGTATTACCTGGATAAAAGCCATTTCAGTTTAGTGCATCCCAGCGAGTCAAGCAGGATATTTTTCTCTGTAGGCGAGGAGCTTTCCAAATATTTCTCGTACGCAAAATTCCATTCTATTTCGGAACCTTCTCTGATTGCTGTGCAGTAGACTACAGATCTTAGATTTGGGAGAATCCTAAAACAAATTAATACGTTTTTACAACTATTGCTTATCATAATTTACATATTTTATCAAAGAGAGCTGAAAGTCACAGAAAATATCTACCTACAACAAAAAGTTACATGGAAAAGCACATTTAAAGCTTTGAAAGAAGGGCAGCAATGATATTGAAGGATTTATTCAATCTAGGACAAAAAGATTTCCAATTTTACTTATTTCAGTTCAGTCATCCAAGGTTCAGGAACGGCATTTTCAGGAAAAAAATGTAGAATTTTTTATTCACCGGTTCTGTATGTTCTTTGGGTTGCTGAATCCGAAACTGAGGTTTGCCAGGCGTCGGCTTCACAACGAAAATTGCGAAATACTTTAAATTTTCGTCATTTTTTTCAGATTTTTAACTATAACTCGAAAACGAAGTGTTTTTCAATTACAACTACAATATACCAAATTAAAGTAGACAAAATTTCCTACAAGTAGATATAATTACTCTAAAGCCTCGACAATCCATAATGTCGTTAAATCGTGTTGAAAAAATGGTATTTCTTGACTTTCCTCTAAATTGTAAACGGCGGCTGAGGAAGTGATTCCTCTACTGTTATCACGCAGCTATTGCAACATACTTAAAATACGGGGGGAATATTGAGTTTTGTGGCCTGTCAATCGGTAGAAAATGTTGAAATTTCTATGATTACCATTACCTGGTATGTCCAGGTTTATTTTAGTAATGTTACACGTGAGTGAGTTTCATATAGTCAACGTCCTGTTAATAATGAAACGAATTTTATCATAATAAATTAAAAAGCCACTACAACGCCGCAATCTTGTGTCTATGAGTCAATATTCTCTAGGAAAAAAAACATAGAAGGGCTGCTGAAAAATCGAAATGATGAAGCTGGAAATGCTATTTTACATAGTATACTTTCAGTGCATGATTTGCCAGCTGCTGATGCTCGATACCATTTTTTATGCATAAAAGAGCTATAGGTACCTTCCCAAACGCCAAACAAAAACACAAGGTAGAACTAGAAGTGATGTGGATGGAGAAATGCAATATATTTTCAAATAACTTGAAAACAGTTTTGAAGAAGGTCAGTTTACAATCGACGAACTATAAATGAGATTGAAGTTGATTGTCGTCCTCACCCAAGAACAGGAAAACAGCGCCTCCTTGAGAAGTATATATAATGGCAATGATATAATTATAACAGCCAATATGCCTTATATTGTATGCTTCAAAGGTATAGGTCACAAGATTATTACTGATATCAGGAGAGGTAATCAGAGAAGGAAGAGAGAATGAGGATTGTTAAAACAGCAGCTGCTATTATTGTTGAAGATGTACGCTCTTAAGTGTACCATTTGACACAGTACCCTCCACCAGATACATTTATAGATAATGTTGACGATTTAATCCCAGAATCTCTCCAAGTCTTTACAGATGCTGTAGTAATGAGCAAAAAAAAGGAAATTTTGAAACATGAAAGAAGAAATCTCTTGCTATAGCCGATTGCTGAGTCATATATATATCTCCTTTGCGAGTGAGCGTTGCAACATTTTTGTAAAAGAAGTTTAGTTCACGAAGGTTAATCGATGAGCTGAGTTCATTTGGATTTTGTTCATCATACACAGAAGCCGTACGTTTTGAAATGTCTTCTATGTTGGAACCACCTCTAACTCTTAGTGAACAAGCACTCTCAATTGTTCTAAAATAAATCAGTCCTACCTAGTCAAGATAGAAGAGGAATTTAGAACAAAAAACTATAAAATACATTGTACCTATTATCTCCCTTAAACACTGAAACTGCTCATAGTAAGCCAAAGAATAAGCTTGATAGTTTTTGTAAATAAGCGACCTGCACGGTTTAGCAAATCTTTTGTGGTTTGTAATATTTCTTATATTTACAGGAAGAGAATTAAAAATTTTTGGAGCAAGGCTTTTTGCAAATCTTTGCTTGATTTTCATCCTTTCTGTAGAAAGGTACAGCTAAGTTTTGATTTCTTATCTGTCGCGTTTGATAATTATTGTGATCGAGTTTTTGCTGCATATTTCTATTCTTGTATAAAAACAGACAGCTGTTGTAGAAGTACAGTACAACATTCGCACATTAGGTATCTTCTCACTACCTATATAGGAGATCTGTGGGACATAGTTTTTGTTTTTGTAGCATGACCTTCCATATATAGTTTTGGATAACATTGAGAGATTCCATTGCATTAGCGTACAGACCACCCCAAACAATAATAATTGCATAGGTATAGGTACCTACCTACTGCAATATTGACTCTGCCAATAACTTGTGAATTATTTAGAGTACCGTAGAACGGGGTTACTTGATAGGACTTTTGGACTTCAACTGATCGCACACATCAGAGTAAAGCGTTTTCAGCCAAACCAAAATTTTTTTAGATTACTTTGAGCTCCTGGCTATCGATTGCCATGAAAATTATTCCCATATCCCCCACCCCTTTTCTGTAAAAAAATTTTAAATGTCATTTTTCAAGTCGCCCCGGGATGGGGACACTTGAAATTCTCCGGTTTCTGGCGTTAAAACAGCAAGTAGGGGCATAATTGGGGCTTCTTGAGAAATAGAATAAAAAATAGGCATTGCAAAAACCACTTTTTGCAAAAGAAAACACGGTTTTGCATAAGAAAAACGTTTATTTTCATAAAATACAATAAAAAAACAAATCTCATGAGATCAAAACGGAACAAATATTATCTCTTTGGTGAAACGTCAAGTAATAACAAAACATTTATGGAAAAAACATAAAAATGAACATAAATTCTCATAAAAAAAAACGAAAGACTCTTTAGCGACAGTGGAACGTCGTGAAACAAATAGGTTTTTTCAAAAAATAGGTAGGAATTCTTAAAACTAAAGTAAATTCTCACAAATGGAAGGCACTCAGGTAAGTCCAAATTAAAGAAACAAATTATGCTACATTGACTCCTTTGTGGCGCTCTTCCAAACTTTCGAAGGAAATTTGCCCTCTTCGAAGAATTTTGAATTGGGGAAGTTTTTCTAATATCTCGTTCCTTTGAACAATGCCAATGTCCTCTACATCGGGATAAACAAAAGCATTTTTCAGCTTAAGAGATTTTCTTAAAAATTTACATTGGAAAGTATTCCCTTTCGAATTCAAAATTTTGGCAACATACGTTTTGGAGGTCCCACTTTCAGTCTTCAAAGTCACTAAGATAAAGTCTTCCGGTTCAAAAACAGTCGCAGCAGGGCCATTATTAACATTTACTAAGTCTTCAGTTTCTTCGGAACAATTTTCAAGATCAGAAAACGTCTCAGGTTCATTGTCACTATCAGCATACGGAATGGAATCATGGTCACTATCCGATGAGCTTCCATATTGTCTATTATTGTTTCTCTTCTTTTGTTGGCGTGGGATTTTTTTGTCTTCTTTTTTCTTGTTCAGTTTGATGTTTGAACAAGATGGTTCATTCTGTTCTAGATCCTCTTGGGAAATACTTTTACCTGCTTCGATATTCAATTTCTTCTTTCTTCCCCTTGCAGTGTCTGCATTTCCAAATCGGGATCTTTGAAACAAATCTGTCAGTGATTGTGTCAATAAATTATTTACTGCTTCTTCGGTAACTTCCTTGGGGAGCTTGCATAAAATTTTTTCCCTGTCGAGAGGAAAAATACCTGTTGCTTCAAAACCGGCTCTTATATTATCTTCTGTTCTTCCTTCTATGCTGTTCAAGGCCTGATTAAGGAGCCGTGGAAATACATCTTTTCTTACGACACCTTTGTTATGCTTTTTCCACTGTTGCAAAGTTTTTCTCCAGGCGCCTTTGACAGGCCTAAACACGCTGACGTCAAGTGGTTGCGTCATATGAGTACTGTTGGGGGGAAGCAGAATGAATTTTATATTAAGCTCTCGACATTTGTTGATCACATTAAACGAGATGTGACTAGCTAAATTGTCACCAATTAGTGCCTTTGGACCCTCTGGCAAATTTTGAAAATATGGTACAATCACATGAAAAAACCAATCCTCAAAAATGCTTCCGTCAAACCATCCCGATTTGCTACGGTTGAATCTTGCTCTTGGTGGACCGTTTTCGGTCCAAGTACTCCACAGATGATCCGCCTTATAAACGATGTACAATGGTAGTAAATTTCCGGAGGCAGAACATGAGAACATGACAGATGTGGCAGCTTTCGATGTATCCATAATATGTTCAGCTCTTTTGCTAGCTCTTCGAACAACAACTTTTTTACGTCCCGGGTCGTCCGTAAAATTTGTTTCATCATAATTCACGACTGCCTCAGGAGGAATACCTTTTAAAGATTGAGCGAGGTGATCGAAATATTTGTTAATAGTTAGGTGGCTTACCTTCGCCCTGCTTTCTTTGATTGCTTGCGACATTCTTGCTGATACCTGTTCAGAATGACGCTGTAGAAATCGACTCATCCACCCTTCACCAGGTTTATTGTTCACAAATTGCGGCTGGACGATACCCTTCTGGTTCAAATAATTTTCAACTAGCAATTTGATGTCCAGGCTATCCATAGGAAATCCCCAGTCTGCAGCCGTAACAATACACTGAACAATCGCTTGTTCTTCGACGTCTGGTAGAGCAGTCTGTCCCCCTGGTTTTTTAGTGTGGAGGTTCCTAATTTTCCGGTACAATGTAATGTATGGGATATTGTACGCTTCGCCGACCTCCCTCATGTTTTCGCCCCTCCTGCACCTTTCTACAGCTTCCAGCAGGTGTTCTTCGGAATAATCCCGGTATTTTCTGCTCCCAGCCCGTCTTACATAATTACGGACCATTTTTCAAGTCGCCCCTGGAATGACAAAAAAAAATAAATGAGGCCGCCATTTGTAAACGATGCAAACTATCATTGATATATTACTATACCCTTCAAGCCTAATAAGTAGGCATACCAAAATTAATTTGACGCCACCTAGAAATATTCCTCTTACCTGCACCACTTGGAAGTATTCAGCCTTAAAAATCAGTCGTTTTCGCACCAAAAACTCAACCACTCAGG